TTTTGTTGCCTGTTCTGTTGAGGTCTTCTACAAATAATCTTTGCCCAGAACAATGTCCTGAATCATTTCCCTGGTGTTTTCTTTTGGTGGTTTCATAGTTTCAGGTCTTACATTTAAGTCTTTATTCCATTTTGAGTTGATTTTTGTTTATGGTGACAGATAGGAGGTTAGTTTCATTCTCCTATATATGGGTATCTAGTTTCCCCAGTACCATTTATTAAAGGGACTGTCCTTTTCCCAATGCATGTTCTTGGCACTTTTGTCAAAAATCAGTTGGCTATAAATATGTGGATTTATTTCTGGGTTCCTAGAAATAATATTTTACCTATTATATGGGCATTCCTTAGCCCAGTCAAGGTGGTACATAAAATTAACTATCACAACATATATATGTAGATATAATATGGATATATGTCAAGTATATGTGTGTGCACATATATCATATATATGATATATATGTAGATTGAGTATGTGTATATATATATAATATATACACATTCTATATGCATTATCAACAGGATCAATGTAAAGCAAAGCATTATTTTTAAAATTTTGATTTGTCTCGTGAGTCTTCTATCACTCTTGTGGCCATCCAACATAGAAGTTTTCTTTCTTTTTTTTTTTTTTTTGAGAGAGAGTTTCACTCTTGTTACCCAGGCTGGAGTGCAATGGCACGATCTCGGGTCACCGCAACCTCCGCCTCCTGGGTTCAGGCAATTCTCCTGCCTCAGCCTCCTGAGTAACTGGGATTACAGGCATGTGTCACCATGCCCAGCTGATTTTTTGTATTTGTAGTAGAGACGGGGTTTCACCATGTTGACCATGATGGTCTCGATCTCTTGACCTCGTGATCCACCCGCCTCGGCCTCCCAAAGTACTGGGATTACAGGCGTGAGCCACCGCGCCCGGCCCAGAAGTTTTCTTTCTATTCTGTTCAGCATGTGCTCCAGTGCTACTCAGAACAATCATGAGCACTTCTTGAGAAACTGCTATTAAGTGTCAACTGTCATCTCACAACATGGACCATCTAGGCTTCAACCTCAGAAAAATCCCTGTATGTTGTTACCTTTAAAGACTTGAGAAAATATCCTCTCTAATGGTCTGGGACTTCATAATGTACAAATCTTATCTTTTTGAAAACATGGGTTCATCCAGTTGTTAACACCACATGTGTCTCCAGGCAATGTGCTGTCAGGCTGCTGAGCCAGGCTTCCTAGTTGTAGGTCCGTTGTGATGACTCCTGCATCTTGGGTCTGTGGTCTGCCATTTCAAAGGCATAACAGATCCTGTCAAACAAGCTGAAGAAGAGAACTGCTGGTTCTGTTGGGCCAGACTGAGTGCAGTTCCTCAGTCTGGAATGGAGAGCACATGCAGGTAAATATTGGCATAAAATGGCTAAGGTAAGGTGGCTTCCATGTGCCTTCTGTCCTGTTGTTCCTCATGTCTTTGGCTTTTGTAGAAAATGAATGCCAATTGTCCAGAGTTGCATTGTGAGAGAGGGAGGTGACAGTGATGACATGCCAGCAGTGTGGTCTTTGGGTAGGACTGTTCAGTGAACCTTCTATTTGTTGTTATGAAAAAGGCCCTAGAAGCTGCCACAGAGCCATCATCACCACTAACACATGTCTACACTGAACAGTTCCACTACCTTTCTTCAATTGTCCCTCATTTACTATCATTTCTGGGAAGATTTTGACAACAGAGTTTCCCATTGGATTATTAAGTAGGAGGTTTGACACTACATTGGCCTCAAGTTTATATCAACACTACCCCTTCTTATGATATATATTTTTCAAAATCTTTTATTAATTATTCATGAGTGAAAACAAACTAAAGTTGTCTACTTATAACAGGATTTCTTTTTCAATTGCTTCTTTTAGAGATGGAGCCATTTGTGGTGGTTTTGAGATACATGGAACAGAAAAGAGCAGACAGCAGTTGATTTAACTTCTCTTCTGTCCAGATGAGTATGTGAGTCTCAGAGTGAAGGCTAGAATTCACCGCCATCATCATCAAACATAATTGGAAGCACTTTTTGCATAGAGTTGGACTGAGTGACCATAAGGCTCAACTCAGTGTTTCTGGGAGCTATTTTGAGACATGGGGGTTGGACTGCAGCCTGCCTTATGTCCAGCACAATGCAAGGTCAAAGATAGATTGGTTAGGCCCATTAATGAGCTTGTAGTATAAACTAAGACTTCTCAAACATTTCAAATCATGCATTAGAAGATGATAATATTTTATGGTATTTGGATAAATGGATACAGATGCCATTGCCACTGGCCCAGGAACTATGAATCAGGGTTCCACATGGCTGCCATAAGGGCCAAGGAAAGCACTCCTATGACCCTTAATGGCACAGTATTGCACATTTGCCTGCCAGCTGAGAAGCACTAACTGGAATTACTTATATTGATGAACCACAAGTGTACCTGCTGACAAAATGCCATTGCCTATATGATATTTGAAATATTCCCTAAATTAATTATTACATTTAAATATTCAACAGATGCTAAATTCCATTGCTGACTAATCTTTGTGAAGTCTAGCACCTCAATTGACCCTGAAGACACGTAGGTATTACAGAGAAGGGAAATTTGTCACAAAACATGTCAAGTTTTTGTTACTACTAGATGCCTCTAAGCCATGGACCCATTGTTTTCAGAGCAACCAGAAATCTGATAGGACTCTTTCTACTTAGGTATCTCCAATAAGATAAATCCCAATCAAATTCAAAAAGTAAATCAAATGGTCCACTGGACATGGTGGCATGGTAAGAGATTTGTAGGGGAGATAGCTAGATAGTGTTGTTCAGGGTTTTTTCAGATCATAGCAGCCTAGTAACTTTTTAAAATGGTAAATATTAATAGTGGACTCAAGCCCCACCCTATAAGAGAGTATCGTACAAGGATGTTCCTCTGAAGAAGTTTAGCATCTTTGGTCAACTGTGGCTGCTGTAACAAAATACCATTAACTGGGTGGCTTATCAACACCATAAATGTATGTCTCTCAGCTCTAGAGGCTGGGAAGCCCAAGATCAGGGTGCCAGAATGGTTGGGTTCTGGTGAGCATCCTCGTTTGGGTTGCAACTTCTCTCTGTGTCCTCATGAAGGAGGCAAATAAACTCCCTCAGCCTCTTTGTACAAACACACTAATCACATTTGTAAGGGCTCTATTTTCATGTCTTAATCATTTTCTAAAGGCCCCACCTTTTAATATCATCATCTTGATGGGGTAGAATTTTAACATAGGGATTTTGAAAGGACACAAACATTCTGACTATAGGATCTAATGTTCTCGCCCTTCAAGATACGAGTCTGAAGCCACTTCCTTTTCAAGGTTTCTTGCTATGCTTTCCCAGAATCCTCCTTCTCAAGGAAGCATCTTGTTCTTCCTTTAATCCCGGCCCCTCCTGAGCTGTATGGCAATTGCTTTTTCAGAGTACAAAATCCGTAAAAGCTGGGTACAAGTCTTATGCACACCTAAATCCATAACGTCTTGCAAGAACCCAATAAACTAGCAAATAAATGAGTGATAGATAATGTAGGGTATGAAATTTGGGGGAAAATTTAGTTTGATTGTTTGTACTTTAATTCATTATGGACAATACAATCAGCTGGTCTAATAGTCTAGATGTGCGCTGCCACCAATTTACAAACATTGTTTTCTAAAAGTTTATTTTATTAAGTCACTTGTGGAGAACTTGGAAAGTGTTTCTTGGAGAAACATTCTTATATGTGGTGAGTAGGTTCCCTTCCAAACTATAAAAGTGAGTGTCTCTGAGAACATCACCAAATCATAAGACTCACAGAGCAAGGCTAAAATCTGAACCTGTGGAGTAGGAGGCTCAGAACGCAGAAATGAAGTCAAAGGGTAGGTCTGTCTGCTCTCAATGGTGTAGGTTGGCCCTTGGAAATATTTTGGAAAAAGGAATATTTGATAGTCTGTTATTTACCTAATAATCAAAATGTATCTGAGCCAGGACTTAATTAATTTAGAGGTTTATTTTACAAGGTCAAGGACCATGGCCCATGATGCAGCCTCAGGAGGTCCTGAGAACATGTGCCTAAGGTGGTCGGGGTGCAGCTTGGTTTTATACATTTTAGGGACTCAGAAGTTACAAGCAAAGATGTAAATCAACACATGTAAGGTACACATTGGTTCAGCCCAGAGCGGATTAGGGGTGTTGCGGGGAGGCTTCCATAGATGGATTCAAAGATTTTCTGACTGGCAATTGGTTGAAAGAGTTAAGCTATACCTGAAGAGTTGAAGTTGCCATAAAGAAATGCTTGAGCTAAGATAAAAGGGTTATGGAAGCCAAGGTTCTTGTCTGCAGATGAAACCCCCAGGTAGCAGCCTTCAGAGAGAATAGGTGGTAAATGTCTTAAATGTCTTTTATCTGACCTTAAAAGGTATGAGACTCTCCAGAAAAGACCTAGTAAGGGAAAGAAGAACCATTTCAAAATAAGCCAAAAAACACATTTTGGAGTAAAATACTTTAATTTCTCTCAGGGACTGCTATCTACTATGTGATGCTATATCAGAGTCAGGTTGGAATTTTGTATCTTATTGTTACGAAGTGTCTCTTTTGTCACTCTTATGATCTTTATTTTATTTTAATGCTGGTCAGTTGTGCCTAAACTCCAAAGGGAGGAGGGTATAACAAGGCAAAGTGTCCAACCACCCTTCCTGTCTTGGCCTGAACTCGTTTTTCAGGTCTCTTTGGGAGCCCCTTGGTCATGAGGGGTCCGTTCAGTTGGTTTGGGGCCTTAGAATTTTATTTTTGGTTTCCACGTCTTAGGACATTATTTTGCCTTATCCCAGATCTGTCCTATTTCCTAAAATACTGCGCTTTAAAATATATCCCCTTTAACCCCAGTCATATCACAGATTTTCTCACTCAACAAGATCTCAAGTATGCAGAAGACAGGCTGATCACAGCGAATCCCACAAAAGTGAATGACTTATTCATGAGATGCTTGCTTTAAGTGGCGATTGAGGTTAATCCTCAAAACTGCTTTTGATTTCCACAGATTTTTGCCTGGCTTTGAGCATCCACAGATCCTCTCAATGCTCTGTTATTTCATTCGGACTTTCCTGGAAACAGAATGTGAGTGCTGCCTTTAGCCTGGCAGGAGTGACCCTCTATGTCATTCCTGGATCATTTATTTATAAGCCACAGATGGGCAAGTCTGGTACTGTCTGTGCTCAGGAAGGCTGACTAATGCTCCCGCCCCAAGGCAGCGCAGGAATGCAGATCCCTGAGCCTTCAGAAGGCAATTCCTGCCCTGCCTGCGAACAGCCTAGGGGATGGGGGAGCCACCCTGGGGTTTGGAGGCTTGAGCTAATGACACACAGCCGCCTGGCTGCGGTTACCGGCTGCTCTGCCAAGGTTGTACAGCTGGTTGTCTGTGCGTTGGAAGATGCTGATGCCCCCTGCTGTACACTGGGTTGCCAAGGGGAGCAGCAGTTCCAGTGGGTTTAAAAAAGAGCACAATTTATCTTTTCTCTGAGGCAGCCTTGTTTCTTTGCTTGTGGCAGGTCCTGCTCAGCTCAGGTTGTGGTTTCGTAAGTGTTGTAGAGGGAGCCATCTGTCTTCCCGGGGGGACAGGGCTGATTTACATGGAAGGCTATCTAGACAGTGGCTGGTGCTGACATAACTTGGATTTTGCTTCAAACTTGAACTTCTAGAATATTCTGTACTGTGTTTCCTTCTTTGCATAGGCGAACATTCTGTGTATCTTTTTTTCTTCATTTTTGCCTGGAGTGTTTGTTTACCATAGAGCTGTATAATATCATACACATTTCTTTAACTCTCTTAATCTCCTCAAATGAAGATTGTTTTTTGCCTTCTACTCACTTCTCTCTCTACAGCTGCCAGAAGTTCTTCGAGTTTATGCTTTTATTAAATATTTAAGCACATATTTTCAGGGATGAAACATATTCTCGGCTCAGAGCTGTGCTAGCAGATGTATCTCTTCTGCCGGTGGGGTGCTGGGTTTGTGGCAGACTTATGAAATGACCTCGCGTAATCAATGGGAAATAGAGAGATGCGAGGTGTTATGTTATTTGAAGCTTCAGACTGGCCCTTATTCCTAGAAGGCACTTGGAGGTCAGCAGCAGTGTAGGGATATGCAATTCCAGGGTCAGCACCACAGAATTAAAGTGAAATGAACAATACATGCTGATTTAAAGTAAAATGTGTACCTCCTGAGAGAAAATGGTGATGTTTAAATTCTTGCAACCAAGGCAAAAATCTTTTATTCAGTGAACGGCTCGGCAAGCACAGTTTGCAAATGAGAGCTTCTTTAACATTCGTGTGGCATGGTCTAACACCCATTAATTGTTTATGGAGCACCTGCCATGTGCTCAGGCTGGTTGTAGAGAGGAGCTGGTTTCAGAAATAGCATCAAAAATGGCCTCTGTGACTTTGCCAGAATATTGAGAGCTGAATCCAAGCCTGTTAGATCATGTTTCTTCTGAATCCTGCCCTTTCCCTGACCGCAGCTTACAGGGTAAGTGGTAGTATCTTTTAAAAAGAACAGTACAGCACAGAAGATGCATCAGGCAGGGTTTCCAGAGAAACAGAGCCAATCTAGATGTATGTAGCTAACCCTTGAGTAACATGTGTTTGAACCTTATGGGTCTGTAGATTTTTAAACATATATACATTGGAATTTTTTGAGATTTGTTAAAGATTGAAAAAACTCACGAATAAACTATGTAGCCTGGAAATATTTTAAAAATTAAGAAAAAGTTAGGCATTCATGAATACATAAAATATATGGAGATAATAGTCTATTTATGTGTTAATAGACTGTTTATGCTATTAGAAAGGCTTCCAGTCAATAGTAGGCTATTAGTAGTTAAGTTTTGGGGGAGTCAGAAGTTATACGCAGATTTTCAACTGTGCGAGGGATTGATACCCCTAACCCCTGGGTTGTTCAGGGTCAACTCTATCTGTATCTCTACAGTTGACCTTGGGGAAACAAAGCATTTATTATACACTGAGCCATTTCATAATCAAGTATTGGCTCCCATGAGTATGGAGGCTAAGAAGGTTTACACTTTCTCCTGGTCTGGGCATTTATAGGTGGTTGGTTATCAGTCCTCCAATTACAGCACTGAATCCAACCTCGTGTTCCAGAAAAGAGTAAGCAGGCACCTGCTTTCATTTTTATACCTGAATTTCTGTGGAATGAGATTCCCACTTTCTCCCTCCAGTCTCTCAAGAGGCTATGTTTTGCCTCTTATGTTCACTTACATAAATAGGTACCCAGAATGTGCCACCAAATCTTCTCCAAGTTGGCTCTCAGCCTAACTGTCTGCTACCTCTCACCTGTTATCACACTTCTTAGTACTTGTCTGCCTCCCTACCTTTAATTCTTTTCATTTCACACCGCTGGGCTTTCAACTCCTGGGCCCTCACCCGAAAAACACACACACACACACCCACACTCACCCGCACACACACACACACATACCTGCACACACACCCCCCCCCCAAGCTGGGCCTGCCATATATTGTCTCTTTGTAAGAAATATAGTGTACCTTTGACCTAATACTCTCTTTGCCGCTGGCTATTCAATCATCTTATAATTTTTTCAATCTTCTTTGCTAAATGATTAAAGTCCCCATGAAAATTACAAATATTGCTTTGAGTTCAAGTATCTACTATTTCACTGTTTTGCTTATTGTTTTTTTTTTATTTCAAATAATTCTGTTGCCTCTTCCTGGAAGAACCTAGAAAATCCTCCTTCTGGATCAAAACTCTAAAGTTATGGTTTCTCTTCATGGACCAGCCTCCCTGCTCTCAGCTTCTTGCTCTTGCATGTGACCACCCTTCTCCAAAATTCTGAGAGTTTTATGGACATTTCTGGGCCTTTCCCATGATGCCAAGCTTGCAGATCTTCAGGTTTGATACTAGGTGAATAATTTAATCACTTAGCATCTTTTTAAAAAGACCAGAGTTAGTTTTATGCACAACATATGTTAAAATAAATTTAATTTCACACATAGATATATATTAAAAATTAATTTTCCTCACAGTCCCTGATTACAGTCTATTTGAGAAGACTAGCACCCATATATTAATTCTGGAACAATATAAGGGTGCTAAGTTAGGCGCTAACTCACATGGTGCTATCAGTAAGAAACCAAGGAGTACAGGGAAGTATTAGAAAACATAAAAGCAGTAGGCAGAAGGCGTGCAGGGAAGTATGAGAAGTGAAGGAAATTGGCTGGTCACTGGAAGTTGGTCCGCCTAGGCATGAAATATACAAGACTATCTCAGTTCTTCACTGGATTGTGAAGGAATGAACTTTGAGGACTAGAAGAATTTAAATAGGAGAAGGAAGAAATAGAGAGTGTGTCGGGAGAGAGAACAATCAAATAGAAGCAAAATTTAAAAGCAGAGATATATTTATGTTTTAGGGGAGAAGGACATTGGGGGATTGGCTGACGAGCATATGGCAGGAACTGATGGAAATAACAAGTAGAGTGAGTCCCAGTAATGCAGGACCTTAACCACCAGCCACCTCTGAAGTCTTGAACTTCAGAGGCTAGGGCAGAGGCATTATGTGTTGAAAATGATTATGAAGAACTGAGTATGGAGAATCTGAACTCAGGAGTCAGGGACAGTGGGGAGGTTATTCTAATTGTAGATGTATGAGACAATGAGGTTCTTCAATAACTTTTTCCTTAATAAAAGGCTTGAGAATATTTTTCCTCCTAGAATTCCTTTTGATAAAGATGAAACTTGGCGTATAGGTACAATTGGAATAAGCCCTTTTATAAAAGAGAGTAATAAGGGGTAGGTTTGCATAGAGACAAAGGAATCATGTTTAACTGATCCTCTGCCATTTTTCAAGTACGCTAGAGGCAGGGGTGGTAAAGGTAATGACAGGTTAGAGTTACCATTTAGCTACATAGAACCACAAATCAATGAATATTAAAACCATGCGTTCTCCCCTTGTTCTCTTTTCCTATATGTTCCCAGTAGTATGGACCATAAAGTGAGCTGACCTCACAAAAGGGTAGAAAGAAGTGATGTGACGTTGCAGAATGACTTAAGAAAAGCCATGGTCAAAAATACAATTCTTCAGAATATGTAAGGAGATATAATACCTTAATATTCATTTTAAGGTATTTTATTTTATCACTATGTCACATGCATATTATTATCATGGCAGCTGGTATTTATTTTTAAAAGGTTCTAGAGTGGTGTTCTTAACAGTTTTCAGAATGGCATTCTAGCTGATCACCTCTTAAAAATGAAACATTCTTCTTATACTGCAGCCTTTGTCAGCAATAATATGGTAGGTCTCTCTCTGTCACCCAGGCTGGAGTGCAGTGGCACAATTTCAGCTCACTGCAACCTCTGTCTCCCAAGTTCAAGCAATTCTCTTGTCTCAGCCTTCTGAGTAGGTGGGACTACAGGTGCACACAGCCACGCCTGGCTAATTGTTTTGTATTTTTTTTTAGTAGAAACGGGTTTTCACCATGTTGCCCAGGCTGGTCACAAAATCTGAGCTCAGGCAATCTGCCCCACTTGGCCTCCCAAAGTGCTGGGATTACAGGTGTGAGCCACCGTACCCAGCCATATGATAGATATTTTGAAGAACTTTTCATCATTAGAATGTAGGGGTCAGTAATTGATTAGTTATATGAGTAAAAGGTAGAAAGATGAAAGAGGCAACACCTCTTGGATCATGAGGACAATGAAGATTTCTATGACAATAAAGGTATTCTATTTCTATGAGAATAAAGCAAACTGGGGAGAGTAATGGTACCGTGAAGAGTTGATTTGTCTTGGTTACACGAAGTTAGTGGCAATGTCAGGAAACCCAAGCAGTGGTGTTCAGGAGGCATGCTCAGTACTAAAGAGTGACCATTCTTGATTCTCGACCTGCTATTCCTGTGTGGGACAGGATCTCTGTGCATGTTGTGTTGTTCTTACGGAGTAAGTTGTAAACAATACTTGAGTGATAAATGTTATGAGATATTTGAACTGGTCACTAATGCATATATATATATATATATATGTATGTTTGTTTGTAAAGGAATATACTAATATTAAAATAACTGGCTGACTTATTAGCTCTAACTTATATGTTTGTCAATATTAAAAATAAATAAAATAAACGTTTTCAGTGTTAGCTCAGCAAACCAGCAACAGCTTTCTACTATATGATCTACAAATCTCAATTCAGTGGGAATGGAACTAGTATCAAATAGAAAATACCTTTCCTGAAATCCTTCCTGGAGCATGTCAGTAATACCAAGATAAAAGCCAGTAAGCAGAAACAGGCTGCCAGAGTCCCCACTGAGGGTCCACAGTTGGAATGAACTTTCATTAATGAAGGGAACCAATGACTCGGGCCAGGCCATTGCAAATAATTGCAGAGCGTCTCAGACTTTGGTCAGAGCACAATGAGTAAATGTAGAAGAAATCAAGGAGAAGTTTAAAAAACAGTAAGGGAAATGAGTAGCAAGAAGGATTTAGTCCCTTTTAATATATTCATGTGAGGAAAATATAATATCCGAAATCCAAAGACTAGAGGACATGTTATCTGGTGAAGAGGACACATCATGTTAAATATCAATACTGAAGCATTAGAGTCTAGATATCTTTAAAATAACAAATACTGAATTTATAAATTTATGTTTGTCATTATGCCTACGTGTGTTTGGGGCTTATAATTTGGAGGTGATTCCTGTCCATTCAAGAAATAATTTAAAGACTTGAAATTTAGCCAATCTATTCTAAAAATAATTAAAAATTTATTATCTATGTAAATATTTTGAATTACAGAGATCAAAACATGTTTTAGTAACTATGAGTTAGAAGAGTAAGGAACCCAATGATTAAGAAACAAGTCTTTGAAGGAAAGGAAGCAAATCCCTAGCAGAAAATAAGCCAGCAGCCTTGTATTATAGAAACCAACCTTCTAATGTGTCTCTAAAACTAATTTGCTCCAAGTCGCATAACCATTAAGAGTGGAACCTAAACTCCTATTTTCTGATTCTGAAACATCAATATTAATTTTTGGTCCCCTGCCTCCACTTTGCTTTCATCTGTAGAGCACATTGAAACCATCTGCCTCTGACCTATTCTGTCATTGTCTGATCATCTCTCAAAGCAGATCTTGAGGTGTTTAATATTCCCTGCATATATCAGTTTGTCACTCAGAACAGTTTTACTCACTCAAATTGTAACTTCAAATTCAATGATGTGCACCCTTCTTAAATTAATAATTGATCTTCTAATCTTCTTAGAAGGAATGCTAATGCAGACAGACAAATACACTTTATTCTCAATGCCTAGGCCTGAGAGAAAATTAGGAAGTAGCATTAAAGGAAATGTAGCCCCTAGCCTGGTGGCCCTCAGACAGGTTAAATGAAATATCAGATAGTTGGCCTACCCTTTTCTTATACCCGAGTAGATTCCTTTCAAGTTCTCTATCTGTAAGTGACTAATTAGTTTCATTTTCATTGAGTGGGATCTCCTTTATTCTAAATTCTAAGAAAGTATAAGTAAAGGAACAGTCTTTAAGGATGGTAACATAGCAGAGCTTGTCACAGTTGGACACAGTTCACTCAAAGAAGCAACTTAATTGAGTTTTATAATTAATTAGTAGGATTAAGGAAAAGCAAAATGTTATGAAACATCCTGACATGATCTCACCAACCTTAGGCTTAAGGGACAAAGGGTGTAGGAGAAAAGTTAACTAAAGAAGACATAGTAGTCGTTACTGAGATTTGCCTGGCTGTAGCTGCAGCCTAGAGTTAACAAACAAACAAGAAAGAAAAGAAAAAAACTCAAGCCACCCTAGGGATGACCCACAGTGACAGAATCTTGCAAACAGAACCTGAACTTACTCTTTCTCATGCTGATCTCCTGACAGTGCCTCCTATGGCTGAACCAACAGAAGCCAGGTGACAGGGGAGCCTTTGATGCAGACATGGAAGTAGGTCCCTTGGGGCACCCAGTGCTCTTGAGGAGCACGGATCTGAGAGGCCAACAGAAAGGGCTTGGAGTAGAAGATAATTGTGAGTGGGCTAAGGCAGTCATCTTTTTGTGGACCAATATTGGTTATATCCAAGTGATGAATATCTGATCATTACGCCCTAACCTGAAGGCTGTTGGAAGAAAAGATATGCTGTTAATAACATGCTCAGAACCTGAAAAGGCGGTATTACCACCAATATGGAGTTCAGGTTGGGACCATACTTCATTCTATTCTTTTATTTTCTTTTCTCGTCTTGTCTTTTTTTTTTTTTTTTTTTTTTTTTTTTTTTTTTTTTTTTTTTTTTTTTTTTTTTTTTTTTTTTTTTGAGACAGGGTCTCACTCTGGTGCCCAGTCTGGAGTGCAGTGGCACAGTCATGGCTTACTGCAGGTTTGACTGTCCAGGTTCAAGCAGTCCTACCTCAGTCTCCTGAGCAACTGGGACCATGGGTGTACCCCACCACACCCAGCTAATTTTTTTTTTTTTTTTTTTTTTTTGTAGAGACAGGATTTCGCCATGTTGCTCAGGTTGCTCTTAAATCCCTGGACTCAAGGGATCCTCCCACCTCTGCCTCCCAAAGTACTGGGATCACAGGAGTAAGCCACTCCACCTGGCTCATTCTAATCATGGCTTAGACGTGACCAACCCTGGGCCAAAACTGATAGGGCACCTCAGAAGGGAGCCCAACAGGAGGTCGGTACATTTCAGGAGAGTGAAAAAAATGAAAACAGTGAAGAAAGAAATTCTTTCCTGGTCAAGCTTCTTTTAGGGGATTGGAAACAAGAGTGAGATCAAGAGGTTTTTGTTTTTTTTTTTTCCAAATAAGCTGGCAAAGTTTCTTTAAAGCCAATTAAACATACCTCAGATTGAAAATGATTTCAAACAGTGGTTTTCTCATTTCAAATCAGCGGTTTAAGGTTCATTTGTGAGAAATCAATGTAACCACATTTATCCTTGGCCTAGTATTGACAAAAATATAGTTACAGTAAAATGATTTTAGTCTTTTGAATCTGTGGGTAATGTGAGTGATTCTGACAGAATGGAAATTTCAGGCTAAGTGTATGAAATTGCAATTCAATAATGATGTGGAATATTTTTTGGAAGGTTCATTTAATCTAAAGGCATGTAGGTAATTTATGTGCAAAAAAATGTAAATGTGTTCCAGTAAATGATGTGACCCTGAAATTTTCATGAGGTGGGCTTGATCACATTTTCACAACCCAGTACATTTCCAGTGCTAGTTAAATAAATGCAGAAGGATAAGGACTGTGGTGCTGACAGCAAGCCATGCAGAAAGCAGCCCCAGCAGAGCATTCTCTTTCTGTTTTCCTCCTTTCAAGAAAGGTTGTCAAGTGTTCATTTGAAATTTGTCTCTTAATCTGTTTTCCATTGATGGCAGCAAGTGAGAAGTTTTCAGCTGGGAAAAGTCAAGTCAAACCAGTTTTGCTCACAACAAGCATACAAATTGGCTATTTTTTAAAAATCAGAACTTAACCATATGCTTTGAATTTAAAAGTGGGATTACACACTAAAAGGCTGTATTATCCTTAAATCACCCTGTGTGTGTTTGTGTGCGTGTGTGTAGTACTGTTCTCTCAGCACCCTGTCTTACAGGTGACCCTTAAACAAGGCAGCATGACAGTTACCACAGATTCCTCTCATCCATCATGAGAACACTGTGATAGAATTGTCTCTTAGGGACACGGAGAACAGGCTCTCAAAGAGTAGGTACAAAGTCCTATAAAGCATATGGAAGGTTTCAGTAAAGTACTTTTTAATAAATTACTTTTGAATAAGTATTTTTTTTAAATAACAAAAAAAAATGGGGTGAGAAGAATATATCTTGAAGCTTCAGAAATTCCCCATCAGCTACTATATATGAATGAGTAAAATATTCTACAACCTGGAAATGCATGCAAGAAAAGGAGTAAAGGGAGATCTCCCTGGACACCTCTTGAAGTGGTTATAAGGCTGGATGAATTCAAAAGTAGCTCTAGGCTGGGTGCGGTGGCTTATACCTATAATCCCAGCACTTCAGGAGGCTAAGGCGACAGGTCACTTGAGGCCAGGAGTTCAAGACCAGGGGGCAAACCCTGTCTTTACTAAACATGGCAAAAACCTGTCTTTACTAAAAATACAAAAAATTAGCTGGGTGTGGCGGCACATGCCTGTAATCCTAGATACTCAGAAGGCTGAGGCCTGAGAATCACTTAAATTTGGGAGGCAGAGGCTGTAGTGAGTCAAGGTCATACCATTACACTTAAGACTGAGTGAAAGAGGGATATTCTGTCTCAAAAAAAGAAAAAAGAAGAAAGTTAAAAAGAAAAAGTAGCTCTAGAAGTGATTACTTCATAGTCTAAGTCCAAGGCAGATTTAGAGACAAAGCTGAGGTTTCACCTTTTTTTTCCCGTGAGTAGTATGCTTATATATTTGGCATAAGCTCTGAGGTTCTCACTGGAGTTAAAGCCCAGAGATGCATGACCATGCTCTATGCTAAGTGAGCCCTGGCTCTAGCAAGAGACAAACATGTTGCTGTCCTTCCCCATGCCCAGACAATGTATGTTTTCAGATGCTGGAAGTGAGGCTTATAGAAAATACCCTCATTGGGATGCTGAAGGTGCCAGTCAATCTGAGGTTGTTACATTACTTAATAACCAGGATTGCGGCGAGAAAAAGTGATGTGTCCTAAGAGGACCCACCCTAATTCTACCTTGTTTCAGGGAGACCACTTATTTCTCCATGCTCACAGCCCCTGGGAACCACCACAAACTACCCTTAAAATACAGGTGTGCCCTTTGCTCAATTTCTTCTACATATTATAGGTAAGTTATTGTATTAGCCTGTTTTCACACTGAAATAAACATACTCTCTGAAGTTCAGTAATTTATAAAGGAAGGAGGTTTAACTGACTCATAGTTCTGCATGGCTGGGAAGGCCTCAGGAAACTTAAAACCATGAAAGTGATGGGGGAGCAGGCACCTCTTCACAAAGCGGCAAGAGACAGAGAAGAGCAAAAGGAAAGAGCCACACACTTATCAAACAACCACATCTCATGAGAATTCTATTACAAGAACAGCATGGTGGAAACTGCTCTCATGATGCAATCACCTCCCATCAGTTCCCTTCCTTGACACATGGGGGTTACAATTGGAGATGAGATTTAGGCAGGGATATAGAGCCAAACCATATTATTCAACTCCTGACTTCTCCCAAGTCTCATGTCCTTTTTACATTTCAATACTAATTATGTTTTTCAAATAGTCTCCCAAAGTCTTAAGTCTTTCCAGCATTAACTCAGAAGTACAAATCTAAAGTTTCATCTGAGACAAGAAAGTCCCTTTTGCCCATGAGCCTGTAAAAAAAAAAAAGTTACTTCCAAGATACAATAGGGGTACAGGCATTGGGTAAATATTTCTGTTCCAAATGGGAGAAATTGACCAAAACAAAGGAGCCACAGGCCCCATGCATGTCTGAAACCCAGCAGGGCATTCACTAAATCTTAAAGCTCCAAAATCTTTTTTTTACTCCATGTCTCACATTCTGGGCACACTGATGCAAGGGGTGGGTTCCCACAACTTCAGGAAGCTCCACTCCTGTGCAGAATTCTGCCTGGACATCCAAGCATTTCCATATATCCTCCAAGATCTAGGGAGAGACTCCCAAAGTTCAACTCTTGTCTTCTGCACCCTACAGGCCCAACACCATGTAGAAGCCACCAAGGTTTGGGACTTGCACCCTCTGAAGTAACAACTTGAGTTGTATGTTGGCCCCTTTTAGCAATGCTTGGAGCTGGAGAGGCTGGGATAGAGGACACCAGGTTCTGAGGTTGCACGGAGCAGCAGTGGCCCAGCCTACCATTATTTTCTCCTAGGCCTCCAGGCCTGTGATGGGAGAGGCTGTAATGGGAGAGAAAAGAGTGAAGCGAAAGAGCCATACACTTATTAAACTATGAATTCCATCATGAAAACAGCATGAGGAGTCCCTCCCTCGATACATGGGAATTACAATTTGAGATGAGATTTTGGTGAAGACACAGAACCAAACCATATTAGTTATTGACCTATAACCCTCCCCAAGCCTGTTGTTTAACTTTGAGGCAGAAACATGTGCTCCAAAGTCTTTGCATCTTGGTAATGTTGCAATTATCCAATAGCATTTAATAAACATTGGATTGATGATGGGAGAATGTTTGGGGTAGTGCCTTATTGGGATACTGCTCTGGGGAATCCCCATTCTCACCCACACTAAGCAATTAGGGATACCTGGTTAGAGAGTGTGACAGAAACCTGTGTCCATGGGGGTGTTGCTTTTCTTTAATAGGGAACAGTGCCAGCTGCACCTCTCAGGTCAAGCTTGAGGTGGACAGAAAAGTAAACTTGGGTGTGCATCCCTTTTCTCTTTCTCACAATGCCTCCAATGTCTCTGGCCACGCATATTCACTGGACTGGACCTTTGGAGAAGAGGCAAGGGGAAGGATGAGAATGGTGGGAGGAATAAAGTGGAAGCTTAGCTATAAAGAGAAAGATTACAGCCCTCCCCTAACTTCTGGATGGCACAGTGAATGTGCATCTGATATCCATGGGCAGAAATGGAAGGGCATGGCTGCTGAAGGAAGAGTTATAGGCTTCCAAGTATAATATTTCTGGACACTGTCCCTCTCCTCTGAATATTGGACAATTTCCTGTCTGCATAGATACATTGAATTAAATTTCTGGAATACTTATTTATTAGAATACCGGCCATATTCTAGCATTAAGAATTTTGGGTTAAAAAGGTAAGCAATGGTTTTGACAAGGATTCCCAAAGCATTATGGCTATGGATTCCCAAGATGCAACCTGTGGTTGCATTATGACTGGATTCAGACAGAAATCCTGATCTTTAATTTTTTAATGAGACCAGGAAGTATAGATGGGTTGGCCCTCCTGTGGCTTCCATGGTAATTTATATTTTTCAACCACTTATCATCACTTATCATATTGTTTGGCATGATTATGAATTTTTCACCTCATAGCATGCATTAAAAATTAAAATGTTTACACCAACCATTAGGATAATTAGGTAATGTTGCCCACAGTTAGAGGCAATTGGTCTGGAGCTCCAGCCATGCAGACCCAACCAGTTTCCCTGGGGCTGAGCTAACTGAATTGAACTTTTTCTGGTCTTTAAGAACCTCTCCATTACATTGAAAGAAATGAAGACACTAGCCATTTGTGTCTTTTTGTAGACTCAGTGTCCCTCCATAGATATATTTTATATTTATTTGGTATATTTTATACCATACCTGTAAAAATCTATGGTGGGCAACATGGACAGGTGAATGATGCTCTGCAAAGAGGTTAAAAATGTCACTGAAAGAGACTTGAATTGACTCAATGACACATTGATCCCCATCTTGGCAAGGTTTGCTTACACTATGACTATCTTCCTTTTCATCTGATTTACCTTTTTCCTAGTTGCTGTGTGCATGGTACCTTGAGAGGACCATCATCATAGCAGTTCCTCTAACATCATGGATTCTCCCTATATCTTGATGTTTCAAGAGACAATGAAACCATGTAATGCCTTCTCTTTCCTACACTGAAATCCCTATTGATTTGAAAGGCCTAATTGTAACTCTAAGATAGTCTATCTTAATTGGGGAGCATGATAAACATAAATGTTAAAAAATGCAGTTGATTCCAACCACCTAATGATATTTAACTTGAGTATGAAGACCCCAGACTTTGATTCTATATTAGCCAGGATAGGCCATAATATCGAATTTCATTTGTCATTAGGCTACATGTCTATCATAGTTTGGCAAGATGATTCTCCTCATCACAGGCCCTCAGGAATTCATGATGGTGGAGGCCCTATCTCTGTACATGCTTTCACAATGCAGGGGTAGGGAAGAGAGAACATGCCAAATCACACATTGGTCCTTAAAGCTCGTGAACATATATAACACAGATTTCTTCCCACTTACATTTTATCGAATAAAAAAAGCCATGTGGTGATGACTATGTTCTTTAGAAAGTGAGGAGACACTGAATATTTGTAAACAGTAATATAGTATACCATTAGCTTCAGGGCCTCATTAACAGAAAGAAGGCATTCATTAATTCATTCAGCAAACATTTTTGAGCACCTGCTATCTATTGGAACTGTTTGAGGTTTTTACAATTTATCAAAAAACAAAACATATAAAGATTCTTGCTCTCATGGAGTTTATATTTTAGTGACAGAAGAAAGACAATACACAATGAACATAATGGGCAAGTGAATTATGTAGTTCATAAAGAGACAAGTGCTATCAAAAAATTAATAAATTGTAGAATAAAGATGGGAGTTGAGGAGTGGTGGATGAAGTGTCTGAGGAAGAGAAGTGGCAATTTTAAATGGAATTGTCAATGAAGAATTCACTGAAAAAGTCATGTTTGAGCAAAGGCTTGAAGTAGGTCAGGGAGTTACCTAATTGTATATGTGATCATATGGGACCTCTTAGGTTTCTACTTTGAATGAGTTAGGAAACACTGGTGAGTTTTAAACAGAGGAGTGATGTGACTAACACGACTTCTGTTTTCAGAAGGAACTTCTCTGTTAAGCATGAACTGTAGGGTGCAGGAGGAAAATGAGGAGACTCATTGAAAAGCAATTTCAGGAATCCAAGTAAGATATGATGGTGGCTCAGACCAGGGTGATAGCACAAGAGGTGGTGGGAAATAGAGTCTGGATATTTTCTGAAGGGTTTGAACAACCGGTTTTGAGG